AATACTGATTAGCAATACATAAAATATTACGAAATTCATTGTATCAAAAGTTGTAATTTAATTTAAACTTAAAATTAAATTTAAATTATAATGTTAATATTTTTACATTACAATTAATTTATATATTTTCATAAATATAAATATAAAATTATAAAAATTTAAAAACTCATGATTAAATAAAATAAATTCAAACCTTTTACTGTAAAAGGTTTACACATTGATTGACACAAACAGAAACTAAAATTGTTTACTAAATAAATGTGTCAATTAATAAAATGCATAATTAAAAAATATAAATAAAATCAAAACATGCACATCAAATAAAGTGGCCATGGGCATCAGCCTATCCATTCACATCAAGTGGATCCACCATCGCTGCCAATCCGTTATCATTAATGGGTGGGCTATAACTGAATACAGTGCCGGATGTGTCGCAACGGGTGCCGCATTTACCGATGATATTGATCTCACCAAACAATACGGTTACGGATGAGACACCAGTACTGGTGTGACAACCGGTCTGTGAGTTGGCAAACAACAGACCCGTACCGCGAAATGTGTCGCCTTTACAGTTACCATCGGCTATAACACCGCACACCAGATATCCCTCGTTTCCTATCATATATTAGTTTAGAGTAATGTTTGAGAGAGAGAGAGAGAGAGAGAGAGAGAACCGTTGAAATAGATCATGATCTGTGTCAAATTAGTTATGGTAACTTGTTGGACTTGGTTACTTTTGGCGTACGTAACGTTATATTCGTCATCCACTTCAACCACCTCAACCCCATTACAGGTGACTGGATTGGGTGTCGTCAGGTCATACGTTATCCGCGAGATAACGGATCCGGGGCTACAGGTGGCGTTCAACTGGTAATGGACCATGGTGCTAACAATAGGGCTAATTGCTTCACAATGAGATGTATTGGAAAATTTCATTTTGATCACATTTATAGCTAAATATAACTTACCGACATTTGCGGCCTTCTTGGGGAACACTTGGATTATAATTAATAGATTATAATTATTAAGTTTTATTGTAAATTGTAAATATTAAAAAATTTATGCCAACATAAATAATAAATTATTAACTGTCTCACCTCTACAAGATTTTGGTTGCCCGGTTGCTCTATTTATTATGTTTTCATTAGCAATGTTTGCACGATATAAATCATCTAGATATTGAAAACTATTCTGTATTTCTAAATTAAATATAATTGATTTTGTAATACCTCGAGGTGTTTCCTCCATTATATAGCTTGTAAACTCATTATTATCACGTTCAGTTAGCAAAATGCCTTTGCTCCAACTTTCTATTACTAAAAATGTTAAAAATAATATGATCTTGAGCATTGTTTAGTAAAAATAATTGTTTATTAAATCGAAATAATAAAAACTAACTGCAAATCTAACTTATATTTAAATGTTTTGTAATATGTTAGATCTTTTGTAATATACAAATTACAAATGTAATATGTTATTAATTACTATTATTTGTTTTATTATAAACAAGCCTTTAATTATTAAACAATAGAAGTAATTAAATACATGTGTTAATTGATAATTAAGCGATACTTCCGTATAATCATGTAATAAATCATATTATTATTAACTTATTTATAAAAATACTTCTTGTATTTTATTGTAAAACATATAAAATAAATGTATAATTCATTATGTGCACATTATAAGTACAATTTAATTTTGTATAATTTAAATAGATAAATATATAATTGAAAATGTTATTTCATGTATAAAATAACTCATTGTTAATAAAGTATTTACAATTGAATTACACAAAATAATTATGAAAACATTTGCATTTAATAACATGTGTTATAATTAGAAACATTTAAACAAATAATTAATGATAATAATATAAAGCACCATGACAAATACAATAGCTTTATTAGTAATCCGAGGGGCAAAATGACCACAATCTTGTAGCTGATCCACAGTCTCTTCGGTAATCACATCCATCTTTTTGATAACATCTCTCGATTTGGGTGTTTTCGGGCTTTCGATAACAAGACATTCAATTCTGGGTTTCATTGTTTCGCTGTTTTTTGGGCACTTTTCTGGTTTCACAATAAATATTAAAATGGTATAAATATTTGGGACTTTTATACTCTAAATGTTTGACAAAATAATACAAATGAATAGTAAATAATCACAACAAGAGATCAATACTCAACCCATTTTGCACTAAAACTCTTCATTTCAAGGCTTTTTCTGATACAAAATTCATAATAAAAGTATGTTTTCATACAATTGGCTTATGATTTGCATACTGTATGAAAGCGAGAAACCGATTCGGCCCCTCAATCAAGAAGGCGAAGAAGCGATTCTACCCCTCGAATGATGGACTCATCCAAAAGTTTTCGTCGATTTCATCATTAGTTTTATTCAATGCTTTTTAACAATTTTAGTCATAGAGTTCATGTAATATAACTCACATTTTCTCCTATTTATTATTTTACTGAAATACTGTATTTAACTCATCGATTACTTTCTTCATTGTATAACACAAATAGCCCTAAATTTAATGTTAAGCGAAGCATTAGTTAAACCATTGTTTCGCATTTCACACAAAGCTTTCAATAAACTTTGTACTGTATATACTGTTGTCGGCGCTCATCAAACAAATGTAATTTCACTTTTAAGGAATTTTTGTCGTTGAATATCCGGGTCCAGAAATCCAGGGCTTGTAATTGATTTGATGTTCAAGTTTTTAGCGCTCGTCGACAGACAGTATGGCTTTGGACTCGAGAGAGAGTAGTCCACGATTTTAGCATTAGATTTAGTTTTTAACTTTGATTTCTCACTAAAAAGTGAATTTAATTTTTAATTGTTTTGACTTTGATTTGTCTTAACGGCGAATCTCTCTATCTTTTAAATTTTTTAGTCCGTTTTTATTGTATTTGTGATAATTTTTCGTCGAAATCTATAATTAAAACAAACATTTGATATAATAATTGTCGCGTTTTTATTGTGTCGGGCGTTGACCGGATGTGCCGGAAGTCTCGGCTTATTCGGCGCATAAATACCTCTGGAGCTGACACTTACCCCGTTTGTTGTAGTCATTGATAGTCTTCAGGGATTAGTTGGGGTTTTTCGTCGAGAATCAGTAGATTTGAGTCCAGTATTGAGTCAATTAGAGGGATAGTCGGGACTGAAGCGATGTCTTGCGAGAATCGCCGAGAGTTTAGTCGATGAGTCTGTGTCTGAGTGTCTCAATAGTTCCCAAAGCTTGTAGTTTTCGACGACAGGGAATCCCGGAAGCGGTAAATCAGAAACGCGGCTACATGTATGAGGCATTGGATTAATGCCCGGCTCAAGTCAATAACCTGTCTGTATTGTGTTGAATAAAGTATAATCATGTTGATTACTGTTAAGGTATGTGTGTTTTACTGATTATTAGGATCTAATTCCAGCTTAAGTACATTCCTGATGGCATTAAACTCTATATGAAAATACACAGGTATTGTATTTTTAATGTAATACTAAATTAACCTTTTTCATTTCTGAACATTATACAAACGTATATTATTTAACTTATTTAATAAAAAAAATGATACACTTTTGGAATTTCATTATGATCATAAATTATTATAGATTAAACCTTCAGTCTTTAACAATACTATAATTGTTTTATTTCAAACAATATTAATAAATATAAGTCAATAACCCGTTATTATGATGGACTTTATATACGTCATATAAATTGCATATTTTTAAGTGATTATTATTATACAACAAATTTCATTTATAAATTAATCAAATGTTGAAATTAAAAGTTTACAAAATATAAATTTTAATGTTAAAAAATTTAACACAATCAATATTACTATAAACCCGAGAAAAATACACTTTTAAAACAATGAAATAAAATATATTTATACAAATAAATGTCATAGATTCTATAATATAGAATAATGGTAATTAATGATTATAGTTACATAAGAATAATAATACTAATTCTAAAGTATTTTTGCTAAAACAACCTGTGTTTTAAACCACTTCAAAAAACTTGTTGTTTCATAAATAAATTCTTTAAATGCCAATAATTTTTGTATTGAATTTCTGTAAAACTCTGTAATAATAAAAATAAAATTACAATTAATAAACTAAACAACAATTAATGAAATAAACAAACAAAGTGAATTAAATGATAAATACCAAGACTACTCTCTGGGGTATGCAAAACGTTTCTTGGGTTTTGTCATCGCATCGCAGATCCACTAAAACCCTAAACATGGCGTAAACCAGAGAAAACACTTTCACTTCTTTCAGTATCTGTCGGACAGAATTGCGGGCATTTTCTCCGTATTTCGGGCCATATATTCGCGTCGATTCCCAGATATAGGCCTCAATTAGGGGCACAATTTGGCGATCATCGGGAAAAACGTGCTCATGTTTGTAGTCGTTGAAAGTGCGGCCCCACTCCCACCATAGGGTGCCAAAGTCGAGCCCCCGGTGCCCGTATCGGGAGGCGTCAAAATCGCAAAACACTATCCCCTCATCGCCGCCGCCATCAGCGGTGGTCTTATTGTTATTGTTGTTGTCCTCCAATACCATAATATTGGCGCTCCGGAAGTCGTTGTGCGCAAACACTACGGGACTGTCGCACTCGCGGATCAGATCCATCAGCCATTGTCTCTCCGCTTGAATGTCGTGCCGTTTCAATGTGTGAAGATTGCACTCTGCGATCAGTTCCCGGAGCCCGGGATATTGGCGGGCGCTCTCAAACATGCCCTCAAACATTGGGCCAATCCATTGCGACTTCTTCATCGGCGCCTCCAATGAGTGCCATTTCGCCAATTTTTCAAATACTTTCGCACCGATTGCCGCATCTTTTTGCTCCTCCACACCGAACGCCCGGTGCTGTCCATAACATTGTTTGTTAAATAAATTATTATATTTGTTTGTAAACTAAAATATTAGATTTGAGAGAGCGTGGTAAATACAATATGCTTACCTTGTAATATTTAAGTATCTCACCACCATCAAATATGCCGTACACTTGGGGTCCCAAATGGCTCCGGGAGGCTAACATTGCCGTAATTACATCGTTTAGCCTATCATTTTGATCCTCACTGTCATCGCTGGTAAAATACTTGCGCCCATACAGTCTGATGGCCACCTCCTGAGGCACACCCGACCCCTCTGTCTCGTCGGAGAGACTGCCGATTGCGCAGTAATAGAGCTGATTAGTGACGCCTCCCATAACCCTCTTGACGGCGATCGAGTCGGGCGTCCGTTGCGTCCAAACACCGCCCAAATAGTCGACGCATAGCCGCAGACACCGGACGTTGATATCGTCCGGCGTCTGACCGCTGCTTAACTCAATCTCATTGAAGTCGATGTCGTCGATGGACTTTAACTCAGCCAACGCTTGCATTGATATCTTTGTCTCCGTTTTGACAGACATTTGTTGTTTAATATGTTTAGAAAATATTATTAAGAAATTGTTTAATTCAAGTGTTAAACACCAGTAGTTGTGGAGATAGGCTAGACACGGGGGCGTGGCTTATTTTTTAATTAATATTAATTATAAGGGGGAGAGGAGGGGGCAAAGGCGGCGAAGGCAGCGATAGTACTGACTATATTGTGTTTATACTATTGTAAAAAGCATTAGCGTAAAGATAGTTTAAAAGAGCA